TCAAGAGAAAAGTTATATCATGTATAACAAAAAGCTAATTTTACTAATACAATCAGTATTTCTAAAAATAAGTAGGATAAAATGATAAAGTAGTGCAGGCTACTCTAAAATCAACCCTGAAAAACGATAGAAACAAGAAGGTATTGGCAGTTGGAAGTAAAATCACAACTGTGAGAATCCCTAGGAGGATGGGAACTAGCGAATGATGGGGTGGGAAGTAGGTGGAGAACACAGCAGTCACTTGGGAGGAGGACATCTGTGGCAGCTGGGGGAGGATGTGGAGAGGGTGTAATTTTAGCTCCTGTCTCTCTTACTTTACTTTAGTAATGTGGAACATCCCTGGCCTCCCAGTAGTGTGAGGCACTAGCAGAGAAGACAGAACTCAGCTAAAGTAAAGAGCTGATGAAAACGGGTGCGGGTAAAGTAAGGAGCTGATGAAAACAGGTGCAACGATGCCCTTGGACCTTTGCACCTCCTGCGCTTCTTGGCAGCAAAGGTTCTGCTGTCCCTGGAGCTCTCTCCTTTGAGACTTGATCCTCCTTGTTTTCAAATTTTCCAAGGACACAGGTGAGAGTATGACTTTGAGCACTTCCCCAGTACACATTATAGTAGGACAAGAGAGCTGATTCCATCAGTGAAATGTGATGTCACAGGTTCAAGAAAAAGACATACCTGAGGAATACAACTGTATGAAAAGAATGTTAAAAAAAATAATTAAATTGAACAACACATGCCACATAAAGCACACTTTATTGGATGAACCAATAATTTTTTTAAAAGGTTTTATTTATTTATTTGACAGAGAGAGAGAAAGAGAGAGCACAAGCAGGGGGAGCGGCAGACAGAGGGAGAGGGAGAAGCAGGTTCCCTGCGGAGCTGGGAGCCCGATGTGGGGCTCAATCCCAGGACCCTGGGATCATGACCTGAGCCTAAGGCAGATGCTAAACTGATTGAGCCACCCAGGTGCCCCTCACTGCTTTATGGAATTTACCACAGATTATTTTTCTATCCTTTTGTTAAGGAACAATTAGTTTTTTTCTACTTTGGGCTATTATTAGCAATACTGTTATAAATACCTTGTTTTTATATCCTGAGATACATGTGCCAGAGTTCCTAAGGTATACGTTTGGGAATGACAATGCTGGGTTAGAGGATGCACACATTTCAACTTTTTAGAGATTGCCAAAGTGGCTTTCCAAAATCCAAAAAAAAAAAGCTTTCTCTTGAGGTCAGGAATAAGACAATGATGCCCAGTATCACCACTACTCATGCACATTTTTATCATATTAAGGAAGTGCTGTTCTATCTCTATTTGTATGTATTTATAAAATCTAAAAAATTTGAGCCTGTAATTTTAATGTGGGAAGATATTTGAGTAACTATTTTTTAAAATGATAATGGTACTATTCAAGTTTTCTATTCTTCTGCATACATCTTGGTAGGTTATATTTTTTCCTAAGAATTTGTCCATTTTATTTAAGTTAATTTGGTCATAATTCCCTTTATGCTTGCATAATATGAAGTAATGTCACCTTGCTTTAATTCTGATATTGGCTAATTGTATCTTTTCTAATTTTTTTAAGTGATCCTGCAGGAATGTATCAACTTTATTGTTCTTTAAAAGGAAACACATTTTGATCTTCCTGATCTCAATTATATATATATATATTTTTTTTTTTCTATTTCAGTAATTTCTGTTCATTATTTTAACTTCTGCTTTGAATTTCTTTTGTTGTTTCTTTTCTGGACTCTTGATATGGATTAGTTCATTAATTTTCAGCCTTTCTTTTCTCTGGTGTTTATACTAAGACTCTAGTACTTATACTAAAAGAGCTAATTACTGCTTCAGATGTATCTCACAAATTCGGATATGCAGTATTTTGTTATTTTTTCAGCCCCAAGTATTTTCTAATATCCGTTATGATTTCTTCTTTAACATATGACTTATTTGGAAGTATAATTCTTAATTTCTAAATATATGGGAATTGTCTAGCTATCTTCTTGTTGATTTCTAGTTTAATTGCATGGTGGTTAGAGAGCACATTCTGTAGGATTTCAATCCTTTCTAATTTGTCTAGACCTGCTTTCTGGCCCAATATATGATCATTTTGGTAACTATTTAATATATGTTTGAAAATATATGTGTTCTTACAAACACTGGAAGCAGTATTCTGAACAGATCCATTAGTTCAAATTATGTTGTGGTCAAGTCTTTCAAATCATTGTTAGTATTTTATCAGCTTGTTCAATTAATTATTGAAGAAAGGTAATTTCCTAACAGGGCAATTTGTTTTTCTACTACTCCTTGAAATTTTATCAGGTTTTCCATTATATATTTGGGGCTATGGTACTAAGTAAATATAAATTTAAAACAGAAACTTTTTATCATTGAGAAGTAACCTCTAACTACTTTTTTCTATTTTGTATAACATTCATATATTTATACCAGCATTCTTTCAGTTAGTATTTGCTTAGCATGTCTTTCCATTTTTTATTTTTAATTGTTCTGTTTCCTTATATTTTAGATGTATCTCTCAAAAACAGGACACAGTTGTATGTTTTAAATCCAACACGAAATATTTATTCTTTAATTGGGAGCAGTTAGTACATAATTATTGTTAAATGGATTTAAATCTACCACCATATTTTTGTTTTCTACTTTTCCTATCATCTTGTTTCTTTTTCCCCTTATTTCCTTGCTTTGAGTTGTCTGAGTATTTTTTTAATCATTCCATTTATTTTCTCTACTTGTTTCTATCCTATTCAAAGTTACATATCCTGTTTCTATTGTTTTAGTGGTTGCCCTAGAAATTGTACAAGTGTTCTTACTGTATCAATATCTAGTACCAATCATTACTTAACCCCTACATACATACACACACACACTCACACACATCTCTCAGAGTATTTGTTAAAGCACAGGAAATTTTCTCTAAAGATGTCTCTGAACTGTCCATGAACTGTCATGACTGTTATTGAGTCATGGGGGCATTGTATTGGAAGGAAGCGGGGGAGATTCATTCTGCTTATCAGAGTGGTGTATATCACATTAAATCATGACCAAATGTTAGTCATCATTGTTACTTGTAGGCTTTCTTTGTATAACTCACTTTTGCATTTGCTGCAGAATATTTTGAGCATGATGTCTTGCTCATAGTCAATATTATTTAGGGATTGAGTCTGAATGGGGAAAAATTAAGTCTTTTATTTTCAAAACCCGAATTAAAATGAAAAAAATAATCTCAGGATAATACGGTTTGTTGAGTTGTTGGCAATCTGAAATTTAGGAATGGGGTAGGGCAGGTATAGATTTTGTGATTAGTAAAACAATTAGCAACAGCTGTAACAGCCAGAATAAGAATTGAATGCTCACCGGATTGGCAGTAACATAGCCCTCAGGAAGCTGACTGGCACTGGGCTGGACTCGGGGAATGGGGTAGGGAGGGTACAATTTGTATCATAAGAAATGGTGAGAGCATAGAAGTAAAGTGAAACGTTTTGGATTAATTGAAGTCCTCAGTAGACTAATGTTTCCATAGCATATATTGTAAGGGTGACCTTCATAGTGTAGATTCACATGGAATGCTCTTGCACACACTTAAAAACCGTATGAAAATGCCTTGCCCCTAGATTCATGGATCTTCTGGTCACAAATTCTTGGTTACAATTTCATCTATTTTTTTGAATGGATATATTTGTTGATTAAATACATGTACCTGCTCATGCCTATCCAGACACACCCAACTTCACCCTGCCTGTGGCTTCTTCCCATACCTACTTTTCTCTTTTCATTCAAGTGACAAGATTCTCTCCTTGACCACACTCTACTCAGGCTCCCCAAACTCTTTTTCATCTAGGCCTAGAATTTTGGATTTCCCTTTGTTCTCTGCAGGGTTCATTTTTAGCAAGAAAATCAGTCTAGCTAGAGTCCCCCCATCCTCTACATCTGGTCAAGCTTGATATCTTTATCTAATCAGTTTCCTGATCCTCCACCATCTTCCTGGTGATGTCTGATCACAGTGGGTACTGACTATTGCAAGAATCTTGTTAGGTTGGTTTAGCCATAATGCCCCCTTACTCCTGACGTTTCCTCTTGGTAATTTTCCATCCATCACCCCTCACCCTGCTCCTTGGCTATAAATTCCCGCCCGCCCAATCTGTATCCCCCGCTGCAAGACGCGGTAGCAGTGATCCTTATACACATGGCACCCCCCCCCCCCGAATAAAGTCTGCCTTACCATCCTTTAACAAGCCTCTTGAATAATTTTTTTTAGTATCAGTCTCTGCTCAACTCTCATTTTCAAGAGGATCTCAGAGACAACCACTCGTAAAACAACTTTCCTGCCTATGCCACCATCTTTATTTTCCTCAGAGTAATTATACCATTTGAAATAATAATAATAATGATAATTTTATTTATTTATTTACTTAATTATTTATTCACCAACACTCGGAGTATCCCCAAAGCCTGGCAACACAGTAGACAATCACGTATTTGTTGAACGCATATACGGTCTGTGGAATCCTAACAAATACAGGTAAAACACAGACTCTTACACACTGCGAGAAGAAAACAAAAAAACTAGGTTGCAAGGGGCCTTGGATCTGTAGAAGGGCCCTTAGTGGGTGAAGAAACTGAGACTCAGTTAGGGGAAAGCCTTGCTCCAGGTAACGGAGGCGAGCAGAGGGCCTTCTGCCCTGCTAGGACGTGGGCCATCTCCTAACAGCCTAACGCGGAGGGGGCAAACTCTGCGAGGCAAGAACCTCCAGCCTCGGCGGGAGATGCTGGTCAGCTGGGGGCTGTGCACCAGGGCCGATGATGCAGGAGATCAGCGCCCGGGCCTGGGACCCCACTAGCCAGGCGCGTCTCGCATCGGCAAGCCCAGCTCAAAGGCTAGGCGTCACCCTGGGCGCTGGGCCAAGTTCACCCTCCCGTCCCAGGCTCCCTCCCACCGTTTCTGGCAAGCCGGCCAGGAAGCTGCCGGCTGGTCCGGGGCCGAAAAGTCTAATACGGGATGAAAAGACATGGTCTTGGTTTCCCGGGGACGTTTCAGAGAGACGTACTTGCCCCTCCCTTTCCGGTCGGCCCGGCCCGGTCTTCTCCGGCAACCACGTGGGTTTGCGCTGGACTTTTCCTCGGAGCTGAAGCGGTTGTTGGTGTTTCCCTCATCTGGGCTGCCGAGGTCCTGCAGGGCCGTGAGGACGTCACCATGGTGGGCCCCCTCCCGCTCCCCTGAACCCGCTTGGCTCTCTGGAAGGCCCCCCTGGGGCAGACTGGAGGGGAGGGGGCGGTCTTGGGATACTAGGAGAGGGGACCGGGGCTACTTAGGGTTCTACTGGTCCGTACACTGGGGGGGGGGGGGGGGGGGGGGTGCAGGGCAGGACAGGCCCGAGGTGGCCGCCTGGCCCCGCGTCTGGACCTTGAAGTTCAACTTCTGGGGTCTGAAGTGTTCACAGAGTGCCCTGTCCCTCGGGAAAAGACTCACGTTTACATTTACTTGCTGCTCACTAGTATGTGGGGGGCGGGAGGATGGTGGGGGGGAAGGTCGGCAAAACTTGGGAAAGTGTTGCCTCCATACCGGTGTGCCACCTCTTGCGGGTTTAGACTGCTTAGGCTCAATCTCTTCTTTCTTGGTGTCCTGTCGCCGCCCTCCAGTGATGTGCTCGCTCCCCAAATCCTCCATGTCCCCCCCCCCCCCCCAGTTCCCTCCAGGACGCTCAAACTATTCTGTTTTTATTAAAAATTGACTAGATGCAAAAGAGTGTTTACATAACATAGTGAAGTATAAAGATTAGTAGTGTAAGGAACTCTCGTTTATCCATTATCCAGTTTAAGAAATAAAACTTCTGAAAGATTCTGTGTCTCCTTCCATGGATCTGTAACGTTCAGGAGCCCTCAGGTAAACAGTATCTAAATTTTGTATTTATAATTCCCTTGCTCAGTTGGTTAAGCAACTGCCTTCGGCTCAGGTCATGATCCTGGAGTCCCGGGATCGAGTCCCATATCGGGCTCCCTGCTCGGCATGGGGGTCTGCTTCTCCCTCTGACCCTCCTCCCTCTCATGTGCTCTCTGTCTCTCTCATTCTCTCTGTCTCAAATAAATAAATAAAATCTTAAAAAAAAAAAAATTATATAATTCCCTTGCTTTTCTTTACAGTTACCACTTATGTTGTATTCCAACACGGTTGTTGTTTCTTCTTGCTTTTTTTAAAATTTATCAATATTCATTAGAATAATTCTTGAATAGGAAAATGTTTCCTATTCATTTTCAACCAGTTTTTATTAAAAACAACAATGTAAAAAAGTTTACAATCTGGTAAAAAGTTATGATACTCTGGCCACAAGGTCTTTTATTCTCTTTGTTCTTTTTCCTTTTTCTTCTTTTTGTTGTATGCCTGTCATTTTTGTCTTTCACATCTATACGGTTTTTTTGCCTTAGATCAGACACGTTTGTATATGTATAATTTTACTCTTTTCGCTTATCACTGCACTTGTGTTATTTCCAACCCTTTATAAGATAATTTTCTTTCATAGCTTTTCCGTTTCAAGAGTGGAACACTGAAACATTAGATATGATTGGGCGTTGGTTGGCATTTGAATGTAGTTTTCCTTGAGTATCAGAATTTCACTTTATCAGGCTGTATGGTAGGAGGATATTTCACTGACACATTTGCTGCCATTTTCAGTTCTCTGGTACATCACCAGTGGCCCTGCTGTGCCCTTTCTTGAGTTTAAGCTCAGCTTGGTACTGGAGGTTTTCCAGTTTTTTATATCAGTTACTCTAAACTTCTTTCAGTAGAGTTTAGTGATTTAAAAAAACAACATTAATTATCTCCGTTTCTATGAGTCAGGAATGAGGCATGGCTTATCTGGGTCCTCGGCTTCAAGATTTCTCACAAGGTTGCGATCAAGGTTTAATCTGAGGCAGTGGTTTCATCCAGGCACAACTGGGAAGCATGCACTTCCCAGCTCACTCACATGGTTTTTTGTAGGATTTATCTCCTAGTAGATGACTGGACTCAGGGCCTCAGTTCTTCACTGCTGTAGGGTGGCGGCCTGTCTCATTTTGTTAGATAGGCCTCTCCGTGGGACAGTTTATTGCAGGATAGTTGGGTTCCATCAGAGCTAGCCTAGTGAGAGAGCAAAAGACAATAGGCAAGATGGAAGCCAGAGTCCTTACAAAACCTAATCTCAGGATTGGTAGTTCCTCCATTTGCTCAATGTTATTCATTAAAAGTAAGTCACTAGGTCCACACTCTAGGGGAGGAGATTATACTTAGACATGAATATCCAGAGGTGGAATTTATTGTGAGAATCTTAAAGGCAACCTACCATGGGTTCTGAAATGTTTTTATTGATTCATGTTTGCTAGGTAAACTTCATGTACAAAAAATCCTTATCATACCTTTCTTTCTTGCACCCCCCACCCCACATGTGCAGAGAATAACACAAAAAAATGCACATACAAACATATCTTAGAGATATTGTGGGTTTAGTTCCAGACTTCCCCAGTAAAGCGAATATCACAATAAAGCAAGTCAGATGACTTTTTGGTTTGCCAATGCATCGAGAAATTTTATTTACACTATACTGTAGACTATTAAGTGCGCAGTAGCATCTATCTAAAAAACAATGTGAATACCTTAATAAAAAATAGTTTATTGCTAAAAATGCTAACCATCTGAGTTTTCTGCAAGTTGTACTCTTTTTGCTTGGGGCTTTTGCCTCAGGCTGCTGACGAGGGTAGAAGTTGCTGAAGGTTGGGGTGGCTGTGACAGTTTCTTAAAATGAGACAATAATGAGGTTTGCCACATCAATTGACTCTTCCTTTCACAAACAGTTTCTCTGTAGCATGCAGTGCTGTTTGATAGCATTTTACCCACGGTAGAACTTCTTTCAGAATTGGAGTCAGTCATCCCAAACCCTGCCACTGCTTTATCAACTATGTTGATGTAATATTTTGAATCCTTTGCTGTCATTTCAACAGTCTTCACAGCATCTTCATCAAAAGTAGATGTAGTAGTTTGTTCATCTGTAAGAAGCAACTCCTTACCCATTCAAGTTTTATAATGAGATTGTAGCAAAATTCAGTGATATTTTGAGGCTGTACTTCAATTCTATTCTCTTGCCATGTCCACCACATCTGCACTTCCTTCCTCCTTCCTCGTAAAGTCTTGAAACCCTTGAAGTCATTTATGAAGGTTGGAATCAACTTCTTCTAAACTCCCATTCTTATTATATTTTGGCCTCTTCCCAGGAATCATGAATGTTCTTCATGGCATCTAGAATGGTGAATCCTTTTCTGAAGGCTTTCAGGAATTTACTTTGCCCAGATTCATTAGAGGAATCACTGTATATGGCAGCTATAGCCTTATAAAATGAAATTTTTTTTTCAAATAAGACTCAAATGTCAAAATTTCCTTGATCCATGAGCTACAAAATGGATGTTGTGTTAGCAGGCATGAAAACAACATTAATCCCATTGTTTGTCTCCATTGGAGCTCTTGGGTGACCAGGTGCATTGTCAATGAACAGTCATATTTTAAAATGAATCTGTTTTTCTTAGCAGTAGGTCTCAACATTGGGCTTCAGATATTCAGTAAACCATGTTATAAACATGTGCTATCGAGCGCCTGGGTGGCTCAGTTGGTTAAGCGACTGCCTTCGGCTCAGGTCACGATCCTGGAGTCCCGGGATCGAGTCCCGCATCGGGCTCCCTGCTCGGCAGGGAGTCTGCTTCTCCCTCTCCCACTCCCCGTTTGTGTTCCCTCTCTCGCTGTGTCTTTCTCTGTCAAATAAATAAATAAAATCTTTAAAAAAAAAAAAAAAGTGCTATCAACCAAACTTTGTGGTTCCATTTATAGAGCACAGGCAGAGTAGATCTCCCATAATTCTTAAGGGCCGTAGGATTTTGGGGATGGTAAATGAACACTAGTTTCAGCTTAAAGTTACCATCTGCATTAGCCCCTAACAAGAGAGTTTGTCTTTTGAAGTTTTGAAGCCAGGCATTGGCTTCTCCTTTCTAGTTCTGAAAGTCCTAGATGGCATCTTCTGGTAGGAGGGTATATTATATACATTGAAAATCTTGTTTAGTGTAGTCACCTTCATTATCTTAGCTAGATTTTTCTGAATAACTTGCTGCAGCTTCTACATCAGCACTTGCTGTTTTACTTTACACTTTTGGAGACTGCCCCTTTCCTTAAACCTCATGAACCAACCTCTGCTAGCTTCAAATTTTTTCTGCAGCTTCCTCACCTCTTGGCCTTCATAGAATTGAAGAGAGGTGGGCCTTTCTCTGGATTAGGCTTTGGCTCAAGGGAATGTTGTGGCTGGTGTGATCTATCCAGACCACTCAAAACTTTCTCTTTATCAGCATTAAGGATGTTTTGCTTTCTTATCATTCTTGCGTTCACTGGAATAGCACTTTAAATTTCCTTCAAGAACTTTCCTTTGCCTTCACAACTTGGCTAACTGGCACAAGAGAGAGGCCTAACTTTTTGGCCTATCTCAGCTTTGGACATGCCATCCTCACCAAGCTTAATCATCTCTAGGTTTTGATTTAAAGTGGGAGATGTACGACTTCTTTCACTTGAACACGTGGAAGCAACTGTAGGGTTAGTAATTGGTGTAATTTGTATACTGTTTTGTCTCAGGAAATAGACCTGAGGAGAGGGAGATGGATGGGAGATGGCTGGTCAGTGAGAATCGTAGGGACACACACAGCATTTATTGATAAAGTTTGCCTATATGGACGCAGTTCATGGGGCTCCAGAACAATTACAAGAGTAACATTAAAGATCACTGATCACAGAGCTCCATAATAAATATAGTAATAATAATGAAGTTTGAAATATTGCAAGAATTAGTGAAATGTGACATAGAGACATGAAGTAAGCAAATGCTGATGGGAAAGTGGTGTCCATAGACTTGCTCCATGCCGGGTTGCCACAAACCGGGTTTGTAAACAAACGAAACAAGACCCCCACACTGTGACACACAGTAAAACAAAGCTTGCCTGTATTGTTCTATGATGGTTTCACATTATTCTTCTATACCTGTAACCACCTTCCAGTGCCATTCTGGGTTTCAGAGTGGCAGTTATCTTGGCTAGGTGTATCAAGAAGTGAGCAGTAAATATTTGTTGGTGTATTTCAGTGAATATTAGTTGAAGGAATGAATACATGTGTGAATGAGGAATTGGTGGTCATTATAATTAATTCTGCCAAAAGTTTTACAGAGGAAGTGACTCTGAGTTGTATTTTATGAAAAGACAAGGAAGGAGAAAAGGATTTTTCAGGCAGAGGTAACCAGTGCAGTTTTCAGAAGTTACAAAACAGCATGGTGTGTTCTGGAAATGGGGGAGAAGTTCAGTAAGAACGGGATGAAGGATGTTTTGAAGAGTAAGAAATAATGCTGGAGACGTAGGTTGGGGGTAGATTGTTTTCCACGTTAAGGATTTGGGACGTAACTGTGAGCTCGTTAGCAGGGGAGAAGGACTTTACCAGATAAATGTTGTAGAAAAATAAGCTTTGCGACTTCCATGAAAAAAGAATGAGCAGTGAGAATCTAAAGGCCATCCTAATCATGAAAAATCATGAGGCTGAATTAAGGCAATGACAATAGTTTTGAAGAGAAGGTTCTAAGAACCTTTTTGAGATTAGGTATGTTAGAGACGGCCAGTTGTCCCCAACTAGAATCTTTTCTTTTGTAACAATGTATTTTTTTCTGAGAATAACAATTATATTTACTACTCTCCTTTACATAACCCCCTGATTAAATTTTGATCAATGGGTTGTAAACAGAAGACTCCAGCTTCCTGATATCTTGCTCTTAAAGGAAAGGGGTGTGCTTTTTGATTTTCTTTTCTACTTCTCTCTGGCTGAAGTTTAGACTTGTTATTAAGTCATCTTTTTTTTTTTTTTTTTTAAAGATTTTATTCATTTATTCATGAGAGACAGAGACAGAGAGAGAGAGAGGCAGAGGGAGAAGCAGGCTCCCAAGGAGCAGGAAGCCCGATGCGGGACTCGATCCTAGGACCCTGAGATCACGACCCGAGCCAAAGGCAGACGCCCAACCATCTGAGCCACCCAGGCACCCCTGTTATTAAGTCATCTTGAGCTATACAGACATACAGGAGGTTATAGCCTCAGGATAGTAGATGGAAGGAGCCTGGATCTCTGAGGACTTTGTGAAGCAGAGCCTCCAGCTCCTACTTCTTACATGAGAGAACTAAACTTTATCAGGTTACACCATTATTACTTTGGGCTTCTCTTATAGGAAGTCAAACCTAATTCCAAAATAAAAACAGGTATGATAAAATATAGAATTATGTAGGAATAAAGAGTTAAATGTCTAGTTCAGTGTGCCGAATGAATTGGGACCTTGTTAACTGGCGTAAGGTTTGAATGGGAAAATAATTTGTTCTTTTTTGGGTGTGCTAATTTTGAGATGGCTTGTATTATTTCCTCTATTCCTGTTTTTCTATGAACCCAGCTTTGATTTTGCTTGATTCAGTGCCGACTCTGTTCCATGTGCAACTTCTGCAGTCAAGCTCCCGTGAACATCCTACATTCCTTCCACTTCCCCAGCTTTTTTAACTGTAACACAAATTTTTAACTCTGTCTTCTCACTACCTGCATTCACTTACCTACTTTGAAGATAGTAAGAGTTGAAGAGCTGGGTTTATTGACCTTTTCTGTGCCTTTCTTTATTTTCTTATATCACTGAAGAGTAGTTTTGAATACATCATTTCTATTATGACAATGGAAACCAATGCTGTTCCAATCATTTAACGGGTCTGGCTTATCTCCTAATTCCTAGAGTAGTGTTTCTGGCTTATGGTATTTCTTATATTACTGTTTTTTAAATTTATTTCTAAAGGAAATTTTTTAACTGAAATCACTTCCATATCTGACTATGTGTGTCATGTATTTTCCTAATTTTAGCCTAAAGCCCTAAAGGGAAAACTTGTAGGACGGGAAAAAAAAGTCATCCATCCATATAGTAGAAAAGCAGCTCAAATTACAAGAGAGGCCCACAAACAAGAAAAAAAGGAAAAGTAAGTATCTTTTTATCATTTGTATTATGCATTGGTGTAAAGCCCATTAACATTTATCTTTCATCAATATTCCCTTCTCTCTAATAAATGTTAAGTATGTTCAATGCCCTGAAGGTAAAACAGTGAACAAGGATTCATTTCTTCTAGAGCTTACCTGAAGCAGAAACATACACTTAAATAGGTTGTGATGAGTACAATGAAGAAAAAGGAAAAAGAATTATGGGATGGAGAGTGACAAAGTGGTTCTGTTTTACATAGAATAGTCATGTGTAGCTTATCTGAAGAAGTTCATATTGGAGCAGAGAGCTAAAAGATGTGAGGGAAGGAGCTATGTAGTTATATATTGGACATATAGGTTAAAGTACCGTTAGTCTATTAGATATTTAGAAGGAGATAGAAAATGGGCAGTTGGATATGTTGGGTCTGGTGTTCAGGAGATTGATTAGGGATGCAACACAAATTTGGGAGTCATCAGCTTCTAGATGGGACGGTAAGTGATGACACTACATAAGATTATCTAATGAGTAAATGTAGCTAGAAAAGAGAAGGGGGCCAAGGATTGATCCCAGAGGCCTCCATCATTTAGAGGTTGGAAAAAGGATCCAACAAGTGAGACTGAGAAAGAGGAAAAAGAAGATTGTGTTTCGAAGAGAAGGTGGTGATCAAGCTATGTCATTTGCTCTTGATTGATGTGAGAGCTGAGAATTGATTTAGTAATTTGATTTAGTAATTTGGAAATCATCTAGTAAAGTGGAGATCACTATATATTTTTTGTTATTTCTTAGTTGTTGCTCTGAAAATTACAACTAAATCTTAAAACAATCTTGTTTCGGATTAATGCAAAGTTAATTTCAATAGTATACAAAAAATTTGCTCCGTTGTGGCTCCATTCTTCCTTCTTTGTACTATTATTGCCTAGAAATTACATCTTTATACATTATAATCCCATAAACACAGTTTTACAATGATTGTTTTTATGCAGTTGTCTTATGAGAATACACACAAAAGTGCATTTTTACTGTCTTGTATATTTACCTGTGTAATTACCTTTTTTTTACTGGTGCCCCTTATTTCTTCATGTGGATTCAGATTGCTATTCACTGTCCTTTCATTTCAGCCTTTCATTTCAGAACTCCCTTTAGTATTTCTTATAAGGCAGGTCTGAAAGTGAGAGATTCTCTAAGTTTTGATTATCTGAGAATGTCTTAATTTCTCCCTTATTTTTGAAGGAAACTTTAGAATATAGAATTCCTGCATACAGAATTCTTGGTTCAGTCTTTCTATTCAACACTTTAAATATGTCATCCCTCAGCTTTGTGGCCTGCATGGTTTCTTTTTTTTTAAAGATTTTATTTATTTATTTGATGGAAAGAGAGACAGCGAGAGAGGGAACATAGGCAGGGGGAATGGGAGAGGGAGAAGCAGGCTTCCGCCTGAGCAGGGAGCCCGATGCAGGGCTCAATCCCAGGACCCTGGGATCATGACCCGAGCCGAAGGCAGACGCTTAACAACTGAGCCACCCAGGCGCCCCAAGGCCTGCATGGTTTCTAACGAGAATTCAGCTATTTATCTTACTGAATGCGGTGAGTTGCTTTTCTCTTGATACTTTAAAGTTGTTCTTTGTCTTTGAATAGTTTGACTCGTATGTCTAGTAGGTGGGGATTTCTGAGTTTATCCTACATGGATTTCATCCTACATGGAGTTTGTTACGCTTCTTGTGTGCGTAGCTCAGTGTTTTTCATCAAAATGAGTTTTTAGCCATTATTTTTCCAGATATCTATCTTTTCTGTCCTTTCCTCTCCTCCTGTGACTCCCATTATACATATGCTGGTGTTCTTCGTAGTGCCGAATATGTTCGGGCTAGCTTTCAAGTCGTCTGTGGACCTTCCATTCCCCAGTTTTCCTTTAAATTTTTTTGGTGTCTGAGACTCTTCATTTTTCTTTCCTTTCCACTTTTTGTTGCTCAGACTGGATAATTTCAGCTAACTTGCTCTTATGTTTGTGGATTCTTTTTTCTGCCAGCAAAACTGCTATTGAATCTTTCTAGTAAATTTTTCATTTTTATTATTGTATCTTTCAACTCTAGAACTTGTACTTGGCTCATCATTGTAATTTCTGTCTCTTTATTGGTGAAACGTTCTCATAATTTCCTTGAATTTTTTAGATACAGTTTTCTTTAGTTCTTTGTATGTTTATTATAGGTGAATTCAAGTCCTTGTTGAGTAGGTCCAACTGTCTGGGCTTCCTTAGGAAGTTTCTATTGGATGCTATTTTGAATCCCGGAATATGGGCCATACTTTCCCTTTTCGTTGTGTGTCTCATAATTTTTGGTTGAAAATTGGACAGTTTCAATAACACAGTGTGAAAACTCTGTTAAATAGACACCTCCAGCGCCTATAGTCAATTAGGTTTGCTCTTGTTGTTTGCTTTGTGACTTTCCTAGACTGATTTTGTAAAGTCTGTTTGTTGTGTGTGGCCGTTGATGTTTCTGCTCAGTTGGTGGTCAGCTAATGTTTGAACAGAGAGTTCTTTAAATGCCTTTAGCTAATAAGTCTCTCACCCTATGCTGAGGGGCTCTATGAATCTATTGGGCATGCCTTTGACACACCAGGATGCAGTTTACTTAGACTTCATTTCTTGTTTGCATAGAGCCTCAGGGTTAGCCAGAGGTGAGAGATTAGGACCTGCTCAGGTCTCTCCTTAGCATGAACATAGTCCTGCATGTGCATATGGCATTCTAGATTCCCAGGAATACGTTCGGGCTAGCTTTCAAGTCGTCTGTGGACCTTCCATTCCCCAGTTTTCCTTTAAATTTTTTTTGGTCTACCTTTTGTTAGCCCCCAGCTGGTAATATCATCGAGGCAGCTGCTATGTTAGATAATTGCTGCTGATTATTTTCAAGAAAAACTTGGGGATATAGCTGTTCCTACAGAGAGAGCTCTGAGTCAGATTATGTAAAGACAATGTAACTTTAAGCTTCTTAGCATGCTGCCTGTCAGGTCAAATGGTAGCAATTCTCTGGGGATGGAGGTTTTGGGGAACTCCAAATTTGATCTCTCTGGTGGCCGTTAGGAACATGGCTTTTACAACTACCATGAGTTGCTAGTCCATTGGTCTTCAACACTGTTGCAGAGCTGACGAGAGGACGATGGATTAGGCACATTACAGCACCACAGATTTGTTGTTCTTACTGAGATTGGCCTGTTTTTCTTGAGAATGTTCCTCAGATTCTTTCAAGCCTTTGTTTAATTTTCATACTTCTGAAAAAGTTGATTTTGACAAGTTTTGTTACTATTCTCTGCTTTTATGGAAGAGTGGATTTTCGTAGGTCCTTATGCCATTCTGGAAGTTGGTTTCTACTCTTTTTTTTTTTTTTTTTTAATTTTATTTATTTATTTGAGACAGAATGAGAGACAGAGAGCATGAGAGGGAGGAGGGTCAGAGGGAGAAGCAGACTCCCTGCCGAGCAGGGAGCCCGATGCGGGACTTGATCCTGTGACGACTCCAGGATCATGACCTGAGCCCAAGGCAGTCGCTTAACCAACTGAGCCACCCAGGCGCCCCGGTTTCTACTCTTGATGTGAAGAATTCATAGCAAAATTTTCTTCTTAGGAATACAAAATGTGTATATAAAATGCCCCTTCTTTTCTGCTTCCTGTCCCTTAGTCTCCCCTCTCTGGTCAGCAGCCCACACTATAATTTGCCAATTCTCCCCTCCATCTTTGGCCTGTGAGAGTCCACAGGAGCTGCTGTAGAGACAAATAAAAAATTACTTAAAATGAAGTTATAAAGACAAAAGTCATCATTTTAGCTATTTTAAAATAGCCTTACCATTTTTATAAATGGTAGATACATTTCCACACTAGCTGATAGAAACCAGCACGTTCATTGTTATATATTAATTCCTTACCCAAAACCTAAAGGCATATTTAGTAAAGGTTAGCTGTTCCACAATGATTTGGCTAGAAGTTTTCTGGAAGAGAAAATGACCTTTTTCATAAGGGTTATTAGGATGGTAGTATCACTTTAAACAGTAATTTTCAAACTTTAATTTATTTATCACTTTCATGAATTTTGCTATGTCTTTTGACATGGTTATTACTTTTTGTTACTGTCTTTACTAGTATTTCACAAACTTAGGTGTACACGAGATATACCTGTAGGGCATATTAAAACGATTTGTTCTTTCCCCTAGAATTTTCCATCAGAACATCTGGGGCAGTGTCAAAATTTTGCATTTCTAACAAGTTTCAGGTAACGTTGATGCTATTGCTGCTTGTTCAGGGACCACACTGTGAGAACCACTGACCTGTGGCATTATTTACTTAATATTTTTTTAGAATCTATTTCCCTTACGTACCTTTTTTTTTTTTTTTTTTTAAAGGAGACATTTAGTCTGTATTAAAAACAAGTAAATACTGTTGCCTTTCATGGATGGTCTGAGCCTCAGGCATGCTTGCTTTATCCTTGGTGAAAAGATTTAGCAAAGGTTGGAAGACTTGTTAAGTAAGCATTAAACTAAGTTTTCTTCTTAATGTAATTAGAGAGGATCAAAAGAAAATGGGGGGAAAAAGTAGCTTGCTTAAAGATGATTTAATTCTGTGTCTATGAGACTCAAAAATCAGCTTATATAGTGCTAGTGGTATACATGGCAATATTTTAGGAAATACTGCTTTAGAGTTTGGCTAAATTCTTTGGTTCACTGTAAGTACTTGTGCCAATGAGCCTAGAATCTTTGTATGTTGTCAGGTATTTTCAGGATTTTATGTACTGATTTACAGAAACAACAATATAAAGGAATTATGGAAGAATAAAACTGAACAACATGGTAATTCCTAAATAACTTATTCTAAGGAGGTCCCATTATTGGCCAAGGCTCCATTTTTATAGTACAGAATTGAAAGGTATTACTTAATTTTTTCTACTTGGACAGTGTTCTAAACAGATTTTTCTCATTTATTTTGAAGAAGTCATCATTGTAACCGTTATGGCTCCAGAAGCAAACAAATATACAGTTTTAGTAGTGTCTAATGTATTTTATGAAACAGGCTTACTTAACGCCTGTCATAGATGTCAGTTTTTTGAGTAGCAGCATTATTGACCATGAGTCGTATTTAATTTAAATGGCGTAAACACAAATAGCATCTTTTTTTTTTTTTTAAGATTTTATTTATTTATTTGAGACAGAGAGAATGAGATACAGAGAGCATGAGAGGGAGGAGGGTCAGAGGGAGAAGCAGACTCCCTGCCGAGCAGAGAGCCCGATGCGGGACTCGATCCCGGGACTCCAGGATCATGACCTGAGCCGAAGGCAGTTGCTTAACCAACTGAGCCACCCAGGCGCCCAACACAAATAGCATCTTAAAATGCTGCTGATCTTCCTGCACTAGAGTAGTACTTCCAGCAATACAGAAATGTTGAGTTCCATATTTTGGAGAGATGGTTGGTGACAAGATACTCACACTTCTGGGATAGCTGTGAGCAAGATGGTAGAAAAGGTACCAGCAGTACTTAACTTGAACTTCAGGTGCCTGTGGCTTCTTAATAATGAATAGCAGTTATCAAATACTGCTTTAATTACCTTTTGCTGCATAAGAAATTCTACGGCATCATAGCAGTTTGAAACAAACAGATTTTTGGTCAAGAATTGCAGTGCCACTTAACTGAATGCTTCTGGCTCAGAGTCTCTCACAAAGCTACAGGTAAAATGTTGACCAGCCCACATTCATCTCAGAACTTGATAGGGAGAGGTTTTGCTTCCGAGCTTACTCATGTGGCTGTTGGCAGACCTCAAGTCGTGGCTGCCTGGTGGCTGGAGGCATCAATTCCTTGCCACATGAGCCTCTCCATAGGCTACTCACAACATGGTAGCTTGGTTCCGACAGGGCAAAGGCTCAGAGATAGAGCAAGAGAGGATGGCTAGGACAGAAGACAGTCTTTGAAACTTAATTTCAGAATGACATCCATCACTATTGTACTATTTTATTTGTTAGAAGTCTCTAGGTCTAGCCAGCCACACGCAAGGATCACAAGGCCATGATTATCAAGACACAAGAATCAGTGGGGACCATTTTAGATACTGTCACCTTTTGTGAACTATCTGCCTACCAAAGATACATGGTTTTCCAAGGAACAGATGTAGCCAGGCAGCTTAGAATATCTAGTTTCTATACTTTTCATAGAACTGAGGATTCTTTGTACCACTTCCTAAGGTTCCTTTTTAGGGAGAAACGTAGGTAGGTGGGGAGATCAGGGAGGATATCTGTTATGTTGTAGTGCCTTTGACTAGTGGTCAAGGATACAAAACCAGACCTGCTAGGTTAATCAAGTTGACTCTTATTGATAGACTCTGATTACTTAAAGATACTGCAGGAGTGAATAGCAACAGAATAAGAGCTCAAGCGTGTTTTTCTTCAGTATTTGAATGCTCTGATTTAGGACTATATGGAATATTGCTTCTGTTCATATTAAAAGAAATTAGTATGTTTTGAAGACTAGGACATTTCAAGGGATGCAGAATTTACAGAGAGCAAATGGCTTTTTTTTTTTTTTTAAAGATTTATTTATTTTAGAGAGAGAGAGAGCACACGTGTGTGCACAAGCAGGGGGAGGAGCAGAGGGAGGAGGATAGGGGAAGCGACTCCCTGCTAAGCGTGGAGCCCGTCGAGGGGCTCTATCCCAGGACCCTGATATCATGACCTGAACCAAAATCAAGAGTCAGATGCTCAACCGTCTGAGCCATCCAGGCACCCCGTGTGTTATTTTAGCTTTATTTTATAATTTCTCAGCATAGCAATGTTTTGTTGGTATGTATTATCATACATACAGTATGTCCTGCAGGGTATACAACAAAGAACTCTAGATACCAAAAGAAAGTATGGAAAATTAACAGAGAGAAACTAAGCATAATGGGAAAAATCTAGGAAACAACTACTTTGGAGAATTAATCTCAAATCTCTCTACTTTTCTGTATCCCAACTGATAACAATTCTAGTTCAGGCCCCATTGAGTTCATTCAGAATTATTGCAACCTGACTTCTAACTAGATTCTTTCCTCTAGACTTAATTGAAAGGAATGAATTTTTTCTACCTTGTTATGAGTATTCTCTATTTTTTAAAATAAACTTTGGGGTATAAACAGCATTCAGTAAAATGGCCATATTTTCAGTGTACAGATTTGGGTTTTTGACAATACATTGGTCTAACCACCACGATTAGTGTGTAGTGCCATTTTCATCCTTCCAGAGGATTCCCTTGTGCATCTTCTCGGTCATTCCTCACCACCACCCCTAGCCTCAGGCAACCCCTGATTTGCTTTTTATTTTGATACATGAGATTTGTCTTTCCTAATGTTTCATTTAAATGAAATGATTATATGTAATTTTTTGTGCCAGCTTCTTTCACTTAGCATAATGTTTATGAAATTTACCTGTTATTTCATATATTAGTTGTCTTTCTTATTACAGAATGGTATTCCATTGTATGGATATGCACTGTTTATTCATTTACCTGTGGTGTGTTCATTTGGATTATTTATAGTACTGGGCGATTATTGGGGTCTGCAAGGTAAGGGTCCAGCCCCCTGTTTTTATTAAAAAGTTTTATTGGAAAGCAGCTAGCTATGCCCATTCCTTTTGTATTATCTGTGGCTGCTTTCAGGCCACAGTGGCAGAAATGAGTAGTTGTGACAGAGACTGACCACATTACTCTCTGGCCATTTAAGAAAAAATTTGCCTGCCTCTGCTATTATGAATACAGCTGCCATGAACATTCACTTACAGTATTTGTTTGGACATTTGCTTTCATCTTTCTTTCAGTTCCTAGAACTGGAATTGCTGGGTCATATGGTGATTGTATATCAAAGTATATAAGAAAATTGAGTTTATATGGAATTAAGTTTATAAAAATTGCTGGTCATATGATAGGTGTCACGTTTAAGTATGTAAGAAATTGCTTTATCCAAAGTGATAGTATCATTTTATATTTTCACCACCAGTGTATAAGAGTTATATTCTCTCCATATCCTCTCAAGCTTGCTGTATTACCAGGTTTTAAAAAACTTTTTAGCCATTCTGGTAGTTGTATAATAGTATCTTAGTTTGATTTAATTTTGTACATCTTGATAACTAATGATGTTTAAGTATCTTTTTATGTGCTTATTGGTCATTTCTGTGTCTTTGATATGATGAAAAATCTGGTAAAATCTTTTGCCCTTTTTGGTATTAGGTTTTCTTCTTAAGTAGTAAGAAGTGTTTGTATATTCTGAATGCAAATCCTCTGTTAGTTATTTGTATTGTGAATATCTTCCCCCATTCTGTGCCTGAAATTTTTTTTTTTTTAAAGATTTTATTTATTTATTTATCAGAGAGAGAGAGAGAGAGCACAAGCAGGGGGAAGCGGCAGGCAGAGGGAGAAGCAGGCTCCCTCCTGAGCAGGGAGCCCGATGCGGGACTTGATCCCAGGACCCTGAGATTATGACCTGAGCCAAAGGCAGAGGCTTAACCAACTGAGCCACGCAGGCATCCCTGTGCCTGAAATTTTTTATTAAAAAGGCTTCATTTTATTTCTCCAGTTTTCTAGTTGTTTAAAGTGGGAGGATGAATCTGGTCTGCTTTGTTAGTCAGGGACAGTAGATTTTTTTTGTTCATTGCTGTATCTCTAGTGAGTAGCATAAAGTGTGGCAAAAACTAGCTGTCCAAAGGTGTTTTCTGAATTAATATTTAGAATACCAACAATAGAAATCATGTATTACCTAGACTGTTTCCTGAGAATAAATGAGTTCTTTTTCTTTATTATAATTCTTTTCAAATTATGAAAAATAAACATTCTGTTCTTGTTGAAGTTTAAAAGGTGACACTAGGGCATTTTGGTCTTGGTGGCCGCACTCTGTCTTCTAGAAGGTATTCATTACTCTTGTGCACAAGTATTACCCACCTGAACATTCATAATCCAATCAGACTTTTTTTGTGTTTTCAAAACTGATTTGTTCTATAGGTGTCCTTTAGTCGTTAGTCACTGAAGACCTAAAGAAACGTTTCTAGTAACATTTTGTTCCAGTGATTTAAAAGAAAAGCATGGTGTTCAATGTTTCTGCACTAACAAAATTAATTTCATATGTATAAAAGAATGATCCTTGAATTAAGGTTCTGTGGGCAGTTTTTTTTGTTTTTGACAGATTTTTAAAATTTGTTTTGGAAATTTTCTAACACATTATGTACCTTTTTCCCCAAGATTGAAGAATGAAAAGGCATTGCGTCTCAACCTTATTGGTAAGTAGATTTACTCATTTGACGCTCTGGCTAACCCATAGTGAAGTTCTGCTCTGTGCCTGTTTTTCTTTTGATTCTTCTAGGGAATTTTCTTTACTAGACTTAATTAAAACAAAACAAAGTAAAATCAATCATTAGCTCTTAGATAGTGTTAATAATATCTAGCTCAGTTTTTCAGAAACTATTTAGTTTATATTTACCTACCTACCTACCTACATCTCTATCTATCTCTGAAGTTTAATTCTAGCTCCCTAGCTCATTAGAATTAGGAAGGATTATGGTCTAAGTATTTTGGAAACAGCAGTTTATATTTAGTGATGTGGATACATGCATCGTCAGTCTGTATCTCAGTGTCACAGTTTTTTTTGGGGGGGGCGGATTTATTGTTAGTAAATTTTTACTTATAAGTCTGACTTCAAAATAGTGACTCTTAGGGGTGCCTGGGTGGCTCAGTTGGTTAAGCGTCTGCCTTTGGCTCAGGTCCTTATCTTAGGGTCCTGGGATGGAGTTCCATGTCAGGCTCTCTGCTCAGTGAGGAGTCTGCTTCTCCCTCTCCCTTGGTGCGTTCTCGCTCTCTCTTCGCTCTTTCTCAAATAAATAAATAAAATCTTAAAAAAAAAAAAAATGACTCTTAGGCTTTATTTATTTGTTTGTTTGTTGTTCTGTTTTAATCTTAGGCTTTACTTGAACACCGATCTCTAATGCTTTCTCAGATAATAGAATAGTATTTCTAAGTAGGTCATCCATATCTGAGGTAGGGCCATTTTTTGATCTGTAATATTGAGAAATCTAACTGCAAGAGACCCTGATGGTCAGATTTACTCTTTGCATAGTATCTGGCAGATCTTGCATGGTTAATGTATTTACTAATTTGAGGCCCTGGACAGGCCACTTAACCTTTCTCATGTGTGAATAGGGATAATAATGTACTAATCCTCATAGGATTGTAAAGCTCTTGACATAGAGCCTGCTGCTTATTAAATGTTCAGCAACGACCATCTTCGCCATTAATCCAATCAAGTTTTCATTTTATTATTTTAGACAACTGTTCTGTCTTTTGCTTTTTAAATACTTAGAACTTCATGTTCTGTTAATGTATTCTTTTTTTTTTTAATGCATCCTTATCGGATAAGAATTACATACTGAGAGGCATCTCTGTCTCTTCCCCAAATTAAAATGTGACAGTTTGATTTCTGACAGACTGGTTTAATTAGCTTTGAGCCCACGCAAGCCTTTATATTTAACATTGAAATAAATTTTGATAGTATTTTAAACACATTGATGTTGAAAATTATGATGAATACTCATTGCTTTAGTGATGATTTATGGTGTTAACCTATCTTTGTACTTTGTACTTGTTGTTATAGGTGAAAAACTGCAGTGGTTTCAAAGTCACCTTGATCCCCAAAAAGTAGGATATTCAAAGAGAGATGCTTGTGAATTAACTGAAAGGTAAACACTGGGTATGTTGTGAGCAAAGTGTCAGAAAAGGGAATTCTGCAACCTGGTTCTTCAAGAGACAGAGTTCTGTTCTCGATTTATAGAGGAGTAAATGGGCTTTGTTACCAAAAGGCTTTAGATTCACACCCTGGTTTAGCCACTCTAGTAGGTTTGTAAGGTTTCTGAGCTTCAGATTGTTACTTAACCCAGTTTCTTGGATCAGGAAAGGCTTCCTATGGAAATATCATCTAAACTGACTTCTGAAGCGTAAGGGTTAGCAGACTGAGGTAAAGTTAATTGAAGAGCTTTTAGGCAGAGATAACAGTATCAGAGGTATGAGTGACAGATTTAGTGATCTACCAAACATTAAATATAATCAAAATAATAGGTTCAAGGAGGGCATTGTGACAGGTACAGCTCACAGAAGACCTCAGGTATCACTGTAAGAGTTTGGACCTTTTCAAAGGACATTGGGAGCCACAAGAAGTTTTTTACAACAGGCACCTGAGATGATCATATTTAAACCTTAGAAATGTCACAGTCGTGAGAACGATGATGATGGCCTGAGGGCACATGGCTTTGGCCAGGACACTGTTGAGAGGCTGATGAAACAATCTAGGCAAGAGATGATGATGTTGGCCTCTGCATGGTTAGTAGCAGTATGGTGAAGAGAAATAAAGATTCCAGAAATATTAAGAAGGTAGAAAGTCTCAATCTTTAGTGAAAACTTAGATATGGCATTAAAGGGAGAAAGTGGAGTCAAGGAGGACGTGTACATTGTTCACATGAGCAAGTGGGTGGATGGTTGTACTATTTCCTAAGATAGAGAGCCAAAGAGATGGAACAGGTTTGGTGGGGGATGGGAGGGGACAGAGGTGAGCACAAGTTCACTTTTGAGGTGTTAAGCCTCCATGGGACATCCAAATGGAGATGTCCAGGAGGTGGTTGAATACGAGGATCCTGGAGTTTAGCAGATACTTGAATAGCAGGCAGTGATCTGATTGCTGAAATTTTGGACATGGTTGGGTTATCCAGGGACCGTCTGAAGTCTGAGGACACGAGGAACTCAGAAGAGTATAAAAATTTTAAGGATAGGCGAAGGCTGGGGTTTGTTTTAAATGGGGTAATGTAAGCCAAATGTAAGACTTGTAACTCATATTGCTTTCTTATTTCTCAGGTATTTAAATCGATTCAGCAGTGAACTAGAGCAGATTGAATTACATAACAGCATCAGAGACAGGCAGGGAAGGCGGCACTATTCCCGGGAGACAGTCATCAAGCAGACAATGGAGCGTGAGCGACAACAGTATGAAGGATATGGCCTTGGTGTGTTCTCTGTGACTTTCTTTTTTTCTTTCTAAAATACATAGGCATATCAGGTTTCTAATTCATTTCAAAGATTTAATTTTATTTATTCTAAATATTTAGTTTAGTTTGAATTTCTTCTTTTGATTTCCTTTCTTTTGTGAGTATATCAAATAATTTTTTAATTCTTTTTTTTTTCTTACATTCTCAAAACTGTCACTTGTCATAGTGATGTATCTTTCCACCCTGACAGTAAAGTTTTCTTTTCCCTTCTGGCACATTCCTAATTTGCTTTATTGTGGAGTTATTACTTGCCCATCTGTAACTACATCAGTGTTCCCTTAGAGTAGGTGCTGTGCCCTTCTTATCTTTCTAATTCTTATAGGACCGATCTATAGTTGTTGCAGTTATTCTTGAGAAACTAGAAATCAAACATTCATTCTTAGCATTGTAGCATTTCTTACCATTCTTAAAGACAAGTATGTTGTTAGTTTATCAACATTATCTGAAGAAAAAGCACTTAGGATACTTAAGGCTTGCAAAGACCACAAACAGGTGAGGATCCAGAGGCAACATGGCATGCAAATGGTATTTGATTGACTTCTTTATTGTCAGTCTAGGAAGTATCTGGCAATTTCACATGAAAAATGTAGATTTTGTGCTTTTTAAAAAAAATTCAAGTGGTCTGGCAACATAATCTGCCTGTAATGGAGTAACAGCTGTCCCTTTTAGACTTGATCATATATTCTCAGGTTTGCCATGGCCCTGAACATTACTTCACTCACATTCCATTTCTGGTCCATGTTATGGCATTTATAGTGTGTGGATTTGCTTGATAAGTACAGTATAAATGAAATATTTAATAGCAAATTAAGTTATTTTTTTATTGTTATTATTTTTTAAAGATTTTATTTATTTATTTGACAGAGAGAGAGACACAGCGAGAGAGGGAACACAAGCAGGGGAGAGGGAGAAGCAGGCTTCCCACTGAGCAGGGAGCCTGATGCGGGGCTCGATCCCAGGACCCTGGGATCATGACCTGAGCCAAAGGCAGACGCTTAATGACTGAGCCACCCAGGCACCCGCAAATTAAGTTTTTAAATTCTGATAATAAAAACACTGAAGTATTAGGACCTTGTGGGTAACTGTTGTGTTGGTCCCAGCCTATTGATGGCAATTCTATCAGCTAGAAATTCCAGAGGCACTCACCTGGGCCTCTAGTACTTGTGTTGAGCCCCCATAGGTATTTCCCCAACTGGAGCCAATGTTGTGGCTGGTGCAGCCCTTGTGGTTCTTACTGTGATTGTAGGATGCGTCTAGTAACAACCGTCAGGGAAATTTGAAAAAAAGAAAAGCCAAGATTTATTACTCACAAGGTCTAGAGGGTCCATAGCATGCCCAGGGCCACACAGGGAGGTCAAGGGTAGAGAGAGGAAGGGAGTATGGACTTGGGGCTCTACCTTTATTAGGGTCTGAAGGTGAGGTGCCTGGGGTTTCACATGTTCACTTTTTTTTTTCCTGCTTATTTATTTATTTAATTTGTATTATTATTATGTTATGTTAATCACCATACATTACATCATTAGTGTTTTGATATTGTTCTGTGATTCATTGTTTGTGTATAACCCCCAGTGCTCCGTGCAGAACATGCCCTCTTTAATACCCATCACCGGGCTAACCCATCCCCCACCCCCCCGCCCCTCTAGAACCCCCAGTTTGTTTTTATTGGTGAATTAAAAACATAACTGGGAGTTAGGGCATGAGAAGGGAAAAGTGGGGTCACTTGAGTGGTGATTTAGTAGGTTACTAGGGCTTTCTAAAAGGGGACTTTGATGGGTGGGCATGGCCTGGTTTCTTATCTAGTTCTGCTGGTAGTGTGTCAGACAGCTGGCAGTATTTTTATTAGAGAAGGGTGTCTTTGATACGGATGTCTACACAGTCAAAAGCTTCGTGTCAGGCACTTACACTGTGGTAACACGAGAGACCCTGAAGTAGTTGGTTGGCAGTTCCTCTTCATCATTTCCAGGAAGTGAGCTGCTTCACTGAAAAAAATAACAGAAAATAGCTGTGGCACTAGATAGGTATGATTTAAACCTTTAGAGCTTACTGTGTAACAGGACAAGTGATTTAACCCTCCCCCCCACTGGGTTTTGTTTTCTTCAATTTAAAAATTGAAATAAATAGTATACCTACTTCCCCAGTTGTTTAAAAGTTACATGAGGTTTCATTGATCAAAGTGCCTGACACAACCTAATACAAGGAGGTTCGGGGAGAGCTTCAAGCACTGCTGTCTGTATCCCTTTCACTGAGTAGTCACCGTGTAAGAACGTAAAATTGCTTTATGCTCCTAGATCTCCCATCTCCTCCTGTTGCGTTTTCTCTGGAACCCACTTTAATTAGTTCTTGTCTCCATCACCCAACAAATACTGGTCACTGATGACCTCTAAGTTGCTAAGGCGAACAGTTGCTATACTGGGTGTTGATTCTCAACTTTTCTGCGGCATTTGATACAGATGATCACTTCATTTTCTTGTCACACTTTTCATTTGGTAAAGAAGACCCAGCCCTTCCCTAATTTTCTTTCTAGTTCAGTTTTCTAAGTTGAATCCTCCTCCGCTTCACAAACTAAATATTGGCCAAGGTTCCCATCCTTGGGCTGCTTCTTGTTTTCTACGTATACCAATTCCTAGTTCATTTCACTCAGCCTGTGGTTTTAAATACCATTTACGTGGTGATAACTTTGAAATTTGTATTTGTTGACCCTAACTTATCCCTAGAACTCCAGACTTGCATTATCAAACTGGGGTTTCTCAGAATCTACTTGAATGTCTTCTAGGCATCTCAGACCTGACGTCCCAAAGCAAAGTCCAGCTTTTCTCCTAAAACTTGTTCGCACATGATCTGTATGTCAGACAGCAGCATCACCACCTGGCCAGTTGCTCAGGCCGGAAACCCGTAGATACTTTCTCGCTCCATCCAGCTCGTCAGCAAAATGTATTTTGCATCTGAAATTTGTGCTGCTAACACCACCACCTCCCTAGTCCAAGCCACCATTGTGTCACCTGTTCCATTGTAACAGCCTGCCAGTTGGTCTCCATGCAGCTGCTCTTTCCTCCTAGAGTCTGTTCACCACGTAGCTGGCAGATGAATTAACAGAGCATGGCCAAGGTCAAAATGTATTGGTGATTGAGCCAGCACAGAAACTCAGATCCAGCGTTCTTCCAGCTGTGCCACAGTGTTTCTTCCAGAGTCAGGGAGTGTGTCTGGTGAAAGGGTTGTGATCTCTGACAACTCCATAAGTGCCTCTTAACATAGGCAAATTGTTACCGAATTCTGCAGGTTCGGAGAAAACTGGATTCTGACACCTCTCCTTCCTCAACCCATGGTAGTATAACTACTTCTGACTCATTTTATTAGGATTTCTTTTTAAAAAATGGTGTTTAATTTACACCTTTTAAACACTTGACCCCCTCATACTCATATTTTCTGAAACTATAGTCATAATCAGCATATAGTTGTGTCAAGCCTTTTTATTTTATCTTTTTCATTCATTGATTCTGATTTTAATTAGTATTTTATTGCATAGTCCTGTTTCAGTTTTTTATACATGCCATTTGTGTTTTACCAGTAACTATGATCGTGCATATTGGTTTATGGTAAACTTTCTAATCATGGTGAGGAACTGTTAAATACCTAGTTTTTTCTTAAAAATGGATTTAAGTTTTATTGAGTTGCTTTGAGCAGCTACTGATTATAGTTTGTTTAAAATTTTTTTCACATTTTGAATAATGTGATTTTTAAAAATATTAAAGAATACTTCTATTTCTCAGATAAACTCTACCTTGCGAAGGTGAAATACATGCTTGAAAAAAAATTGTACTTTTCACCAAGAAAATATATTTAAAAATCTAGCCTATTATTTTAGGGGATTGATCATTAGAAATTGCTATGTGCCTTTCATAGATTAAAAGGACAGGGTTTTATCTCATTAATAGGTTTATTTCATTTTACAGATTCTATGCTAGAATTTATTATTTAATAGCATTCCTCTTAAATCACATTCTTAAGCTAAGCCCTTACTTTTCATACAGCATTATAGCAGTGCTTTGAAATTTTGTTTTGCTTGGATTTTCTTGCTGTCTGTCACTTATTCATCGTATCTGAGATAATAAACAAGAGAACTGTAAAATGTTGTGATTTAAAGAACACTGCTTAATAGATATAAATTATTTTCTTTCCCAGAGATTCCAGACATTGTAAATGCAGGTAATCTGAGAACTTTTAGGTAAGTCTGTCTCTCTCTATTATCCCTTGAGGCTGCATGTAAAATACATGAGACATAAACTTTCTTCCCTTTTGTACTTAGACATTAGAGCTAAAAAAACTCAGGGGTTTCTTTTAACCTTTTCTCTTTTATCAAAGTAAGACTTCCTAATTTGTGTTTATTTGGAACACGTGATGTGCACTGACATGATAGCAACATGGTGCCTTTAAATTCCTTAATATGATACTTAAAAGAACTTGGTCTCACTGTTCTTCCCCAATTCGTATTTTTTAAAAGATAAATTAACAGCAACAGGCTCAATGGCTTAGAGTTCTATCCCTAGACTGTTCACAGCACGCTCTTTTGGAAAAGATGGTTCCTGGGAAGTGATACCAGAGAAAAGGTTAAGTCGTCAAGAACTAGTTAGTTCAGTGGTTGAAAGATGATTTCTGTTCTAACAATAATATATTTTTGGTTACTGAAACTTTGACTTCCCACCAAGTGTGAAAGGTTAAATCGTTTCTGACTGCACTTTGGAGATTTGCGAGTACAATATAGTTACTGCTTTTGAGGTTCTTGATACTATATGGCCCATATGGAGTGATCAGGTTAGGGAGAATAAACCAATGGCAGAGCCTCCTTGTCACTTCTGCCTAATAGTTGCCTGTACTGCGTTGGAAGTTTGGGATATGTGGGAATCTCTGTGCAGTTACTGCTGTTGTAGATTAATGAGAAGATGCAATATGTACGGACAATGCAAGCCTTCCTTCTTGGGACTTTTTTTCCCTAATGCATATAGTGTTTGTTTCTAGGGCATTTGGATCTGCAATAAATGTATAAGCTTTGTTCTGCTGCTTTCAGAGTTTTAAATATTGACTGCTTCGCCATCTTGCACCCCAGCAACCCTCTCTATGTACTCTCTTTTGTTTATTTAGGGAATGGGATTTCGATCTGAAGAAATTGCCAAACATTAAAATGAGAAAAATTTGTGCTAATGATGCAGTCCCCAAGAAGTGGAAGAAAAAAACTGTTACGGCTGTAGACAAAGATTTAGGGGAACTGGAACTAAAAGATGAATCAAGTGATTCAGATGAGGAAATGACAGCAGTGGCCTAATTGTCCTTTGCTTGCTGTGAAAGCAAATAATTGGAGAGCTTCAAGTTCTCTTTGACCTGATTATGGTAAATAACTGTCCAGATACAAGAATTTGCTATGAAACTTCTTGCATCATGGAATCCCATTTGCAGTTTCAAAAACAGTGTTACGATTTTCATTTAAAAATGAATGTTGCTTTTCGTTTACATTCAGTTGCTAAAATAGATATAGTGAAATAAAAGCACAATCTAAGATCCATTTAATCTGAATTTCCCGGGCAGGGGGAGTGATATGAATGAGGACAGAAAGGTTTTGATTTTCTTCCTCATGTTTACCTCGGATCACCTGATCTCACAGTCTGGGGCTTGTATAGCAACGTGTTTGCTGTAAGGGTCCTATGGATACTTCTTGAGCAGTGATGATAGCTAAATTGGCTTTCAGTAATAGTGTTTCACTAACCTTCCTCTTAAACATAACACCTATTTTCTTTCCTTGTAAAATAAGGAAAATGTGATAGGGAATAAATATACACTGATAGATTGTATGTTATTTTTATTATCTTTAAGCCAGAGTTAAATGGTAAAGTAAAAAACTGGGGTCTATTTTCATGATGTTGGCCTCCCACACTTAATCTGTTATCTTTTGATCGAGGGGATAAATGATTTCAGGTAACTCTGTTTCTGTATTATTTTCTGCTTTCTTATGAAAAATGATAGGTTTTATTTGTGGAAACAACTAATGATTAGAGAATCAGTTATTGCAATTGTGTTATTTGTGTTATTTATTCTTCTAAGAGATAGGCTAAATGACATATAACTCAGTATTTCAAGTATCATGAAAGACATGGATGTGTTAGAATGTTGTTCTTCGTAGAACTCGTAAAAGGCAATTATCTTTTAGGCTATTTTCTAAAGAATACAATGCGAATATATTTGAGTATTTTCAAGAAAAGAAATACAAAACATTAATGCTATAAGAGGTTAACTAGATATCAACTGTCTTATTAACAATTTATTTAAAATGTTACAGCTTTTTTATTACTGAAAATTAAGAATAAAATTTATTTTCATAATTTCATTTCTTAAAGTTCTAATTATTTCATTTTTTTCAGTGTTTTAACTGATGCTGATTTGCTTTAGTAATTTTCATAAAAATATGGCTTTATGGTTACAGAAGTTTCAGTCTCTTTAGTCATTAGAAAGTGTCCTTTTTTTGTTTCAAAATGGCTATAAAAACTGAATTTTAAATTATAGTAAAGAGAATAGAAACTGTTTTATCCTGTCTGATATTTAAAAAGGCATACTGTTAGATAAATAAGAAAATGGCAGATCATCCTCCCCCTCAGACATTTGTTCCTAGTTTTCCCTGTACCATCAAAGCAAAAAAAGACAACAGGCACACTGCTTGGAACTAGAATAGGTAGATACTTGTTGAATGAATGAATTTACTTTACCATTTAGGATAATAATTATAATTCATAATCACATTTTATTATATATCATTAAATAATGTGGCAGTAACAGTCATAATTTGTTGTTAGAATAATGCTTTTAAGTGATATCCTTAATCATTGTCTGTAGAACATGTTTTTTCTGCAGTGATAACTTGTGCTACCTTATCTAGATTCTTTTCCGGTCAGTAGTATGTCTTTGTAAGATAGCTTCTTCAGTCTGTGGCCACGGAAGAGAGTAAAAGCAACTCACTTGGTTGGCAGTTCTGTGCAAACCGGGGGCTGGTGAACTTTTTTTGTAAAGAGCTAGATAGTAAATATTTTAGTTATTGCAGCCCAAATGGCAGTTTCTGTTGCATATTTGTGTGTGTGTGTATGTGTGTGTGTGTGCATTTTACCACCCTTTACAAATATAAAGATCATTCTTAGTTCATGGCCATACACAGAATAGGCCACAGGCTGGGCTTGGCCTGCTTGCCATCATTTGCCGACAAGCTGAACTTGCATGGATATGGGCTAATTCTACATTTCTAAGCTCAAAGCACCTAACTCTGACACTGGTGATCTCTTTCCTAATACCTTAGTCACTTCTTTGCCTCACCGACATAGACCATAGGCATCTCTTTAGGATTCTGTTCACCTCAAATAGAAGCTTTTTCTACTCCTATATCCCTTGTGCTACTGGAGCAGGAGATTAGATAGGTGTCCTCTTTGCTCTACCACCACTTCCTCTTAGTTCTTTTAAGTTCTGCCATTGTCTCCCTTTCCTTGTTATCTTACCTCCCAGAAGAACCTTCTGCCCATTCCACGACTTTGGCTCTTGGCTCAGTTTTCTTCTCTCCTATTTCAATCATGTTACTGATTCCAGAAGCCTTGTGGATAACAAATCTAACATGGTGACCTTTACCTTTCCCAGTCTTTTTCTCCATCCCATCAGAGGCCTACCCGTGGTTACACCCAGATCCTTATCAGCTCCTGAAACTCCTGTAAACTTGACGGACTCTTCTGTTCTCCATTCACTATCTCCCATCCCCTTCCATTGCTGAAGTTCCACACTTTGACCTCATTTCTTTCATTGTGCACCACCTATCTCCTGTTTTCAATTATTGCTTCAGATTTTGTTGAGATTCAGATTTAATTGCCTCCCTGCATATGCCCTGAATCCCTCTGCCCCGGGCTGCATAGTATTCCTCTTTAAAAACTCAAACTGAAAAACACTTAGTTAATCTGTCTCCTTCATACCTGTTGTTCCCAAGCAGCTCAGCGTTGCTGGAGAATATCAGACAGCATGTCAGGCATTCACGTTTGCACATTGCAAGTGGATTCTCAGTACTGATGAGCAATTTTACTGTGTTCCTCTAATAAGTTCCCTTTCTAACTTTGAGATAATTCTTTCACTACCTTTTTCCACATGTTCTAGTTCATCTTTAATATTTGCCTCTTCGACATTCATCTGTTCACTTTATATGCATCATTGAGAAGATACAAACTATCATTTTCTTTTCTTTCGATTTTGTGAATGTAGTCGCTTTTCTTCTTTCAAAGGCAAATACTCCTGCTTGTGTTCTGGATCTCACTCCCTACTGTCTCCTGAGGAACCTTGAATCTCTCCCAAGTTTTTCACCTAATTTCTCAAGCCAGAAAACTGCCTGTAAATCATCCTTGATTCTTCTCTTTCTCTTTTCCACACCCTCCCCAATCTAATTTAATTAGTGAGTATTTCTGGTTCTATTTCCAAAAAGAGAGTCAAATCAGTCCATGTCAGGCCATCTCCATGTCTTGCCTGTGCTGTGTCCATTTGCTTCCTCACTCGCCCTCGTGCCACCATTCTTGGTCCTGGGAATCCGTTCTCCAGAGTTGCTCATGAATTTTTGGAAATGTACACTAAAATATGCTCCTCCTCTGTTCATATTGTTACAGTATCATTCTGTCACGTTCTTCATGGTATGTTTATTTGATGGGTGTAATTTTATATCTAAGCACTTTTTTTTGAGATTTTATTTTTTAGAGCAGTTTTAAGTTCACTTCAAAATTGAGAGGAAGGTAAAGAGATTCTACCCCCTGCCCCCACACATGCATAGCTTCCCCCGTTACTGACATCCCCCACCAGAGTGGCATATTTATTACAATTGCTGAACTTACACTGATAATCTGTCACATTTTGAATGAAATTCACATTCCCTACCGTGGCCAAAGAGGCCTGAAATGATTTGATTCCTGACTGCTTCTCCCACCTCAGCTTGGCTTACTGTACTTCAGATCGCAGGCCTTCTGTCCATTCCTAGCATGGCCAAGCTAGTTTCTATGGTGGAGCAGCTCTGCTGGCACCCTGATGACCGTGTGTTTGTCCACGTAGGCCAGGCTTGGTTCAGGCTGACCTGAGCCTTAGAATGAATGCCCTATGAGCTTCCTGGAACACAAGGATATGGGACCTGCAGGAACTACTGAGGGCCACTTCACGTTTGCCTCCCTATCT